AAAACAGCAGAGCCGGTTTTCTTCGGAAACTAATCTTCGGCAGCTAAAATGCTCCATTCATGCAATCTGGGTGCAATGTGGAAGTTCCGAAGAATACTTTCTGAAGATCGCGAAATAGTTTCTGAGGATCGCGAAACAGTTTCTGATCGCGAAATAGTGTCTGAAGACGCGAAATAGTTTCTGAAGATTGCAAAATAGCTTCTGAAGATCGCAAAATAGTTGCTGAAGATCGTGAAATAGTGTCTGAAGACGCGAAATAGTTTCTGAAGATTGCAAAATAGCTTCTGAAGATCGCAAAATAGTTTCTGAAGATCGTGAAATAGTGTCTGAAGATCGCAAAATAGTTTCTGAAGATTGCGAGATAGTGTCTGGAGAAAAGTTTCTGAAGAGTAGTTGCAGAAGAGTACCAAATAATTGCGGGAGACAAGTTTCAAAAGAATGAGGAGTTGCGGAATAGGACTTTGTTCAGCCGTCTTTGGTCATCTTTGGTCATAGGCATCCTGAAGAAGCCTGTCTCGTGTTAGGTGTGGATTGGAGTGGTGCATCTCCAGTTACTTACTGGCCGAGAACTGGACGAAACCGAAGGGATCTGACAGTCACTTGACTGGTCTAGGACCTTTCTCAACCATTCTTGCACCCCATGGCTCTTGGGTTGGAAGCCATCGCTATCAGGTTGGAGGCCATCGCTATTTTTGCGCCCTCTTCTTCCCAGAATGTTAACCACTCCAAGTAGGCCTTCTTCTCTTTCTCGTCCTTCTTTTCATCATCATCTTTATCTTCACCAGCCCACACCTGGCTCTCTGAAAGGGTCTTCCTCCAGAAATGAACTTTTCAACCCTGCCGCCCTTCGAACTCTTCCTAGATTCACCACTATGCAGGTTCTACAACTTTAAAGGCTAAATGCAGGTGAGCGAGTCTCTTCCATCGATGAATTAAACCATCTTGGAAAAGGGAACCAAAACATCACCTTGCTGGCCCTCCACAATCGCAAGCGATGCTGCTTCCTTAGGGCCATTGAGTGCTGGCAAACCTTCATGCCTACCATGCGCAAATGACGTTTACCTGCGCCCTGGCTACCTCTTCATTCAACTAGGGAATTCCGGCACATTCTCAACGGCTAACGCTCAGTCGCACCGCTAAGGCAGCGTTTAGGTCCTGGCCATTCCAACCAGGACTCCTTGGGCCTCGGTGAGCCGCACAGGGTGCCTTACTAGAACACACGTGCCTTAAATGGAAGCCTTACAAGAACGCCACAAAATGATCTCTGAGCAACCCTGACATTTTCAAGGTCGCCTTGGTCACCTTCGTGACGAACTTCTGTTCCTGAGACCCGTCTTACCGTGGCGTGGGCCCTTAGCACGGCAATCTCACGCCTCTCTGGGCCAGCACCGCCGGAGTAGTGCTTTCGAGGCTTCGATGCGTAGCTTCTTGTTACTAGTAGTAAGGCACTTGTTACTAGTAGCGATGCACTTGTTCCTAGTAGCTTCTTGTTACTAGTAAGAATGCTCCTAGTAGCGATGCCAGGAGCCCCTAGTAGCGTCCTTGCTCCGAGTAGCGATGCCAGGAGCTACGTTCGTAGCGATGCCCTTTGTCACTAGTAGCGTCTTTAAGAAAGGTGTGAAGAAAAACGACCTAGCAAAGAGCAAATTGAAAACGACTGCTTTCAAAAACGCCGTGAAGGTGGCATGGTGGGAAGAAAAAGAGACTAACACTTCACAGTCAATTCAAGGGGGTCGGAAAGGTGGATCCACCGAATCTGCCCCAAATTGGACTGACAAGGTTAGAGTCGCCCCCTGTGCAAACCGGAGAAAAACCTGTCCGGTCAATGCAACAACATTCACCTGCCTTGGTGGTGAAGTTCAGAGTCACCAATCTGCTGGAAGAACCTTTGAGGAAAGGCACTTGCGCCTGACAGTCTGTTTCGGACATGAACCCACGCCAATGTCAGAGTTTAGCTAGAACTCGAAGAAATCAAGAGCACCCCAGAATCTCGTGCAGGAATGTTCCAGCATCTCAAGGTGTTTGGAGATCCGAGTCTAGATCGTTCGATACGGCATCACATTCATTCACGAAGAGCCAAACATAAATACTCTCCCCGTACTCTCCCGACCTACTGTTCAGGCACTAAACACTAAAGGGAACAGTCTGAGCCTGGCATTCGAAGTCCACCTTGTCACCCTCCAAAGCTTTGTGAATCAGGCGGCAATCCTGCATTTCACGGCTGCAAGTTTGGGATCCTTCGGCATGCACGGGCCAATGACTGCCTCCATAAGAGGGCTTCTTGTTACTAATAGCGATGCACTTGTTACTACTAGTAAGGCACCTGTTACTACTAGTAAGGCACTTGTTCCTAGTAGCTTCTTGTTCCTAGTAGAATAAGCAGAATCAGAGGCGAGACGTAGTCTACGTGAGACGTTGAATTCGAGTGCCCATGGAGGGCTCAGTTTGGTGAAGAGAAAGTGCGCGTTTGACAAATAGTGTCTCGCACGTTCACCAGGCCGCTCTTAGGTTGGAGGCCATCGCTAGTAGTTACTTACGCTGACTTAAGCTAGAAGTTCTGTCTTTGTATCGAAATCCAGCAGATCCTGGCCTTGGGAATCAAATCACAAATGGCGTTGGTCTTGCTCCTCTTGGCATCACCAAGCCACCACTGACCTTGAACGGCCAAAGATCAGAGAAGGTCTTGTGCTACGTCCTCGCACTGAAAGCAGGGTGATTCCCATGGTGTGGAGCTGAAACCAAACGATGAGAGTGGGGGAGCTCAAGCAATGGAAAGGCCAAAGCACCCGAGAACGTATTCTTCAAGTCAAGTCACCCCAGAAGTAGTTGCCTTCTTCTGACGAAACCTGTCACTTCACGCGTGAAAGGGAGGCGCTAAAATGTCCCACGAACCCATCCGGGTTAGACTCAAAACCTGTGAAGTGGCTCTTCACGTGCCTGCAAGTAGAAAAGAGGATTGGCTGGCAACTCCGCCTGAGAAGCATGTGCGAAGACTCAAACCACCGTCCTTGCTCCTAGTAGTAAGGCCAGGAGCCCCTAGTAGCGTCCTTGCTCCTAAGGCACTAAGGCAATACACCAAATCTGACTGAGAAAAGGTCGCTAAATAGTGGTAATGCAGTCTGACACAGTACCTCAGAGCGATCAAAACCATTCCGAGGTCCATGCTTCCAAGATCATGTCCGCACCTAAAAAGGTTGACCGAAGTGCCGAAGACCGCCGATTCGAAGTGCTGCGAAAGTCTTCCTGAAGAAAAATAAAAAGCATACGGCATTCCAGATTCATGTTGAGGCTGTCAAAATCTGTGAACAGGAAGGGTTCACTACCCCCCGTCTCAAGAGTTCAACTCATGCCTTCAGAGGACACCAAGTGCCAGGGTACCTGTCAGACGGGCTGCCAGATGCCATCAAGAGTGCTTCATCTCGTTGTGGGGATGCACCGAGTCAATGAAGATCTTGTGCTTTTCGTCACTCTCTTGCCCCTACTATCTTCTTCTTGTTCCTAGTAGTAACAAGTGCATCGCTAGTAGTAACAAGTGCCTTACTAGTAGTAACAAGAAGTTAATAGAAACAATAAGCTAATAGCTTCTTGTTCCTAGTAGTACGGCCAGGAGCCCCTAGTAGCTTCTGTGCTCCTCTTGGAAACCCTTTTCGCCTCTACAGAAGATCCCTTGGTCTTCTTGCCATAACCTGGACGGAGTGGACTACGGGAGCAAAACAGATAGCCATGAATTGCTGCAGCAAATTTGCCGACCCCGGTCTAGGCCGAGGAGCGTGAGCGTGAGCACCCTAAATAGCGTCCTTGCTCCTAGTAGTACTGGCCTCCGCCCTAGTAGCTTTTTGTTACTAGTAGCGATGGCCTCCACCCTAATAGCGATGGCCTCCACCTAATAGCGTCCTAATAATTCTAGCGTCCAACAGTCTTTGGACGCCAATTAGGTGGAGTCCATCACTACTAGGAACAAGAAGCTACTATTACTAGTAGCTATTTGCTACTAGTAGCTATTTGCTACTAGTAGCGATGGCCTCCATACTATGAAGATCCGGCAGTTCCAAAGATAGCTTGCAAGAACCCAATGTTTCGACTCAAAATTTGAACACTTAAACTGTGGAGCCAGGTATCTGCAGGGACACGCAAAAAACTGTTGCAAAAAAGATTGGACAGGAAGACCATCTTGATCCAGGATAAAGAAGGACGCAAAGCCACAGGTGTTCCTGGCATCACTCTCTCCGACATCTATGTAAAAATCTTTGCCAAGCACCAAAACAAGAATACACACAAAGTAATCGCATTCAACATGGCACTCCCATGTTTTCATCGAGAAGACATGCCCAAGTAGCTCTTCACCCTCATCTAGAATTCTCTTAGCGCCCTTGGTCAGCTCCTTTTCGGTCATGGCACCTGCCTGTCAGCTTTGATGCCGACAAATAGAGTATTGCATAACTTCCTCAACCTAAACCATACATACAAACGCTGATGAATGCATGCAAATTGCACCAGACAGGAAAATGGTCAACCATCACTCCAAAAGCTAGTAGTAACAAAGGGCATCGCTACTAGCAAGGGCATTACTACTAGTAGCAAGAAGCTACTAGTAACAAGTGCCTTACTAGTAGTAACAATGTTTGCTATTAGGAACAAGTGCATCGCTACTAGTAGCGTCTCTCACCGTGTGTCACCCGCCTCTGGGGTCGCACGGTCACGGTCGGCTGGCGCACGGGGCTGCGGGTGGATTTCTCGAGCCAGGCGAAGAGGCCGAACTCGCGGGCCGCCGCGGTCGGCTGCGTCGGTGTTCTCGGTGCAAAGGGCCAGGAGCCCCGTTCGTAGCTTCTTGCTCCCAGTAGTAAGGCCAGGAGCCCCTAGTAGCGTCCTCGCTCCTGGAGTTGCATGGAGAGCAATAACACGAAAGACCCACGAAACCTTTAAGCCGGAGGACGTGTTCCCAAGTATCGCCCCACTTAATTGCACTGCTTTAACAGCGTGCCGGGTTGATCGATGGCGTGAGACCAAATGAGCCCAACAGTCCAAAGCCAGGCGCTTTGAGAGACGAATCCTAACAGATCCCAACAGCCATGGCCTCCAACCCAGCGATGGCCTCCAACCTGCTAGCGTCCTTGCTCCTAGTAGCGAGGCCAGGAGCCCCTCGTAGCTTCTTGTTCCTAGTAGTAAGGCCAGGAGCCCCTAGTAGCGTCTTGCAAACAAAATGCTAGAAGGCCTCACCAACCTTAAGAACCTTGCTGTAAGGTTTGGCACCCTGGCCCGACCCAACTACTCGACCCGCACACGAACGGTCGACGGTCTTTTTTCTCAGCAGAGCCGATGGATATAGAAATCGTTCTTCAACTTTCGCTCGACTTTCACCTTGTAGTCCTCGCAAGGCATCAAGGACGCTACTAGGGGCTCCTGGCATCGCTACTAGGAGCAAGGACGCTACGAACGGGGCATCAATGTGTAGCTCCTCTGAGCGCTTCACCTGTTTAGCATGGGCCTTTACATGTGAAAAGGTTCGATTATAGTTTCCTCTTTCTAATAGCTTCTTGTTCCTAGTAGTAAGGCCAGGAGCCCCTAGTAGCTTCTTGCTCCTAAGTTTACGATAGATCTGTCTCACTCAAGAACTGTCTAGTTTACAGTCATATGTTTCTGTCACATCTCGCTTGCTGCGGAGGTAGCAGAGAAATGCAAGTGTTTGTTGAAATTGCTACTATTGCAAGACTGGAGGTGGCTGCTTTGCATTTCTCAAGGTCCCAGATTTGGGGTTGTGTGGGTAGCGGAGGGGAAATCCTTGTGAGTTGTGATCCATTTTTCGTTTTTCGTGTCAAGGTATTCTGTGTTTTTCAAGAACCGAATCGACCTAGAGTCTTAGAGAAACAAAAAAACAAAAAGAAAAAAAAGGAAGAAAGGTCTAAAGAAAAGGTTAAACATTGTTGAACCAGTTGACTTCGATAAGAGCATTGAAGATGAGGGGAAAGGTATCAGTAATTGGCAAAAGCATTCAGTTCCTCTTCGGGAAGGTTTTTCACTCACTCGACACCAATTACTTCATATGACTTCCGGCCGTGGATGGATATTACTAATTTTAATAACTAAATGTTAATCTAATTCTAATTATATTGAGTTCTAATTTACTTATTGTTTCTACTAGCTTCTTGTTACTACTAGTAAGGCCCTTGTTACTAGTAGCGATGCCAGGAGCCCCTAGTAGTAATTCGAATAAAAAAATTCTACTAGCCTCTTGTTCCTAGTAGCTTCTTGTTCCTAGTAGTAAGGCCCTTGCTCCTAGTAGCGATGCCCTTGTTACTAGTAGCGTCCTTCTGTCGTGCTTCTTTGCAAGCCAAGGCTCTTGTTGTGCGCTTAAGGCTTGTTGAAACGGCTCAACCCAAGGCCGACTCAAGCCATCTTGCACGTACAGCAACCCGCTCGAGTCGTAACTCCAAGCAAATTGTTGATTCTCCTGAACAACTCATATCCGCAAGTGAGTCCTCCCTGCTCTCGTTCCTGCAGGACTGCGAGGTCCAATCCCCTCTTGTATCCTGACATTGCTTGTTTCACCCAGTGATACAGTTTACTACTCCTCACTGCGGCTTCTGGGGCAAGTTTCCCTTGCTCAATGGTATTTGTTTGTTTCACTGCCTCTTGCAATTCCGCTGCGTAGCACTCATCCAAAAGACACAACCACGATCCAAATCGCTCTCTGAAGGGTAACCAGGTGTTGATCTCATGTCTTCTTCCTGAATCTTTGATCTCAA